GAAGCTTCAGACATTCACCAGTGGGGTATTTACTGACATATGTTATGTCCTAGAACAGAACGTGAAAATCTCTTAAACTTATGTTAATCACAGAACTTATTTCAGGCATAAAACCAAAATGAAGTTTAAGAAACCGTTGAGTTTGGCCCTCCGTACAGCTCAACTGGTAAAGCCCTGGGTTCCAATCTGTCTCTACATATGAAGGCACTGGTTGCCCAAAAAGATTGACTTCCCCTTCTGGGAACCAGAACCAGGGGAACCACTTTTCCAGGTTTTAGGACTCATTCCTGAACCACTCTTTAGGGGTCTGATAATCGCCACTGCACAGAATGATTATTGCCTTATAGTCTTAAGTGATGTCTTATGAGGTCACTTCCCTCCCTTCATTATAGACATTTTCTGCTTTATTAAGGTATGGAAATTATGCGTTAATGTCCCTAATTGTTCATCATCATCCAGTCTGTGTAAACTCTTACATGACAGCTGTTAGCACTGCTGCTACGCTGCTACAGTATACAAACAGATACACTTCATTTTGTAACACTCTCTAACGTCTATTCTCAATGTTTACCTTAGCAGTATTTGCCTCAGCCAAATCTCATTATACTTGGAAAATGTTGTAGGAATTTCCCACGAAGTGACATTTTTGTGTCATGGAGCTCTTTCTCTGTGTGACAGCTTGTGAACAGTCGGTGACCCACTTCTCCTCCAACTGTCCCTGATTGTAACACGACATTGTGCCAGTATAAAATGTCAAATTCATTTCCAGAGCTCCCTGCAGGAGTTGACATTTATTGTCTGGAATTGAAGGTTGATTAATGCTGCACTTGTGTGTAGAGCGAAAATCTACTTAATTATTGTGGTTCAGTATTTACATTTTGAAAATATACTTCTGTGGTTTAGATTTTTTTTTAAGTATAACATAAAAAATATATCAATGTTTTACAACAAAGGTGTTTACCTATTTAGACGACCTTGATGTCAGAAGGGTCCATCTGCAGAGAGAAGGGATAATGTGCAGCGAGGTGGTCATTATTGGGAAAAGAACACCCGACAGGCTGTTCAGGAGCCCGACGCGAAGCGGAGGGATCTTGAAATACAGCGTGAAAGCTGCTGGTTAGTAGTGAACTAATCTAAATGCTGATGGTGTGGTCAGTCTACAGCCATTATTAAGCAACAATAGTGTTTATTGCATAGATGAATAGCTGGACCATGGCCCTTCTTAAGAGATTCAGAAGACTCTCCCCTCGTTCGTCAGATATACAACCCCTGGTTCTATCTAGACCAGGGGTCACCAACCTTTTTTAGGATGAGAGCTACTTAACCTGTTACGCACCGCCCCCCCGGTACCGGGCGGATAAACGCGTCATTTGCAGGAAACAACGTCTAAGGAATCTTAATATTTAATAAACTATGAATGTTTTATATCCATGTAACGGGAAGAAACTCAGCTAACTGATCTTTTTAAAAATGTTTCCCAAAAAAAACCCACAATGCTAACACTCAGCCTCTGAATTAGCCACGAGCGAAAAAATGTAACCTATCACTGCAGCTAAACTCACTCATAACTCCCTTATTACTTATCCTAGATGCACAGCCAACCCATCGATTAGCATCTCCGGGAGACACAGAATCTGTGTAAAAAACCTCAGCACTCAGTGATAAACATTTGCGACGCTATAAACAAAAGCGTACATCAGAACATGTGGAGCTAGGTAGCTATAAACGCTAACATGGCTTACCTTGGTCAAAACTGGTCTTCAATGGCATTAAAACGATAAAAAAACGATGCTGCAGTTAATCCATAGGTTAATCCAATGTATCTGTGCCCTCTTTGAAATGATTTCTGATAATCCATAAGCATTAAAACTGCTTTTCCGTTTCCAAATGTCAGAGCGAGAGATCGGTCCACTCTGATGCAAAATTACATGCACGAAGCCCCCACCTCTTCTCTTCACAACGAGTGTGTGTGGGGGCCTCCCCCTTCGATTCTATTGGCTCTAACGGTCAGAAAGAGGTGTCAACCATCCAAATCGACCAAGGGGGGTCAGAGATATGAAAAAAAAAACATTTTCACCCAAATCACCTCAGAGGTGGGGTGGTTTTGGCTAAACCTCTCTAAAAAGGTCAAATGTCACTTGTTTTGCATCAATCTTGATACAGGGTACTTATTATATGTTGTACTTTGGATTCCTAAAGCTTTTAGTCTACTAACCCATCATCCAAGGGTAGTTTTCACTATAAGTAAAAAAGAATTTTTGGACGGACACTATAATTTACAGTTAAAAAATGTAAAATCTGAATTTTCTTTAAAATAAAAAACATCTATATTGATTCTGACACTTCTACATCCAACTCACAGATGTAACCTTGCTTTGATAAAATAAATTATTCATATAACCCTTTTAGAAGTTAAGTTGTAGTCATTTGTTTTGGGCATGTCATTTTTTAGCCTGAAACATGAAAAACAGGCTTGGTGCTTAACAGGTTAAAAAAAAATAAAACAAGTTGTGAGCTACTTTTACTCCTCTTTTTTTGTTTTTTGCAGTGTATATATTTAGCACATTTTAACATTATTATATGCTTACCTTTAACCTTTGTGTGCTGTTTGGGTCTGTGGGACCCGTTTGCAGTGTTTACTAAAAGAACATGTATTCAATTTAATTATTTTAACCTGCTTTATTTGGGGGTGGACCTCACCTCCTCTAGGGGGGTCCTCACCTCCTCTAGGGGGGTCCGGGGGCATGCACCCCCGGGAAGATGTTTTTTTTAATGTTGAAGTGAAATGCATCAATCTGGAGCACTTTGAGCACAACATGAATTGATGGAAACAGCTCTCAACACTCAGATGAAAGGGAGCTGTATACTTTTCAATAATCCAAACATCTTTAGAATATGATCACAACCAATAACAAATCATTTAAACTGGTTTATTCTTATCTTATGTTACCTAGTTAGCATTCTTTCTTTTTATTTATGCATATTTTACTAATCACTCCCCTTTTAAACTGTTTTTATTTACTGTCCTATAGTACACATTGGAATGATTTCTTACTTGATTTTTTACATCTACATTAAATAGATAAAGGTGTTCTCTCTCTCTCTCTCTCTCTCTCTCTCTCTCTCTCTCTCTCTCTCTCTCTCTCTCTCTCTCTCTCTCTCTCTCTCTCTCTCTCTCTCTCTCTCGCTCGCTCGCTCACAGAGGCTGTGTGCTTCTCCGTGGCGATGACGGCTTGCGTTAAAAAATTATAATAAACATATTTGTAAAGTGGGGGGACACAAACGGGATTTCGAAAAGTGGGGGGGGGGGACATGTCCCCCCTGTCCCCGCCATGCGGTGCCGCTCCACATTGCTTTTCTTCCTGACTGCAACGCTGGTCCCGCAAATCAAGCAAAAACGTGATTGGTCGATATTCATTGTGGGGGGTGGGGGGAGGAGGGGTGTTAGAAAGATATAGAGTTGTAGAAAGTAGATAGAGTTCGCTATGATTGACGTTTCGTTTATGCATAGGGTAGATTCTTTTAATTACATTTCCTTTTGTCTTTGTGTATTTTTTACATTTTGGATTTGCTTGGCGAGCTACTTTTAGAACATGCCCCGCGGGCGACTCGCGTTGCCCCTGCGGGCGACTAAGTGCCCGCGGGCACCGTGTTGGCTACCCCTGATCTAGGCCAACATCACTTTCTGATAGATAATACAGGAAGTCTCCTCAACCTGATGTTGACATAATGTAGCACTTCAATGAAGATGTTGGAAGGTCAAATATGAGATTGAAGGTCACACAGCATGCTGTCATCTGTAAAAAAATAAACTCCTTCAGATTGTGTTCAATGTCAGGGTCTGTCTGCTCATCTGATCATGTGTTACCAAACCAAAGTGTCCCTACTCATATGTGGCAGTGGCTGTTTTCCTTAATGAGCTCTGAGTAGCCTGTGTCTAGAGTCTGGAGTCACGCTGCACCTGAACCTGTTGCTATGGCAACAAACCGGTTGTGCCTCTACTTCAGTGACACTTTCTCTGTTGCTGTCAAATTCAAATAGCTTTATTAGCATTACCATAATGACATACAGTATTGCCCATGCATTGTACAAGTAATAGTCTTATCCATCTTACTTATATTTGTAGAAAGTTACGTTTTTCAAGGTGTAATTGATTAAGATTAAAACCATTCAAAATACTGTAAACCTGTTTTATGCTGTCTTTCAAAAAGGAACCAACCATATTTATTTAACTTTTATAATGAACAGTCATTCACATGAATAAGCAGGCTGGTTTTACTGGCCTTGGCGCTCTATTTCCTGCTGTACAGACAGGGTCATGTTTGCTTTATTGCTAAAAATATTTGTCTAATACTAGTAATCTCAAGTGTAATCTCAAGTGTTGAAAAAACAATAGTGTTTGCATTTATTTAGAGATTTTGTTAAAAGAGATCTTATTGTCTCATGTCCCTGTTGCCTTCTTAAATAGTGAATGGGTGTATTTTTCCTGTAAATTCAAACTGAAAACAATTGTTAACAAACCGTGTCAGTGATTTTATATTTAACATTTTTAAATGTATGGTATGCTTTCCCAGCATTTAAAAACTGCTGAATGCTAACGTACATATATTGGGCAATTGTCATATTTAGCACAAGTTGCATTCATTAGCATTAATTAGCATGATCACATATATGGATGATATTTAAACAACTACTTGGCTGATTTGCACAACAAATAAGTGGTTATGGGGGTTATTGAGTAGGCTGTTATCATTCATTCATGAATTCTAACACTAATGTGAAGTTATTTCAATGCATTTTCAGCATCAGTATTGTTTCTGCCAACTGTTATTTTTATGGTTTCTATATTTGCTTACTTTTCCTTTTACAAATGAAGAGACAAGTGCATTTTTTGGGGGAAAAATACTTTACCATGGTCTAATGTGTTTACCTAAATTATGCCAGCATTCTTTGTCAGTGGTGTGCTGATGTTTTGTCTAACTGGAGCTTCTGTGTCTCAGTCTCTCCAGAGGTGCTGGGGTTTCTGACAGCCATCGGTCTCTTCATCATCCTCATGACCTTTCTGTTCTGGTACCTCAACAACAAGTTGGCACTAGACAGCCCAGGGAGCCTTCAGTGCCTTGATGACTTGAGGAAGAAAAGCGAGCTGCAAGGTGAGCCTTCATTTCCATATCCTCAAGGTCTCAGAGAACATTTCACTTTATTTATTCCTACATGTCACATAAATCTTAGATGTTTTGAATAGTGCTTCTGATGCTCCCGGTACATGAAATGTTTATGCTTGTAGTGAAGTTTGGACTGGTTTATACCAGTGCCACGGAACTCTATGTGCGCATGTAAATTGCTTTGGAATACAAACCACTAAAACAGTTTTGGGTGAGTTTCAGTCAGTTAAAAGCCAGATTCCTTGGACAGACAACATTTTGAGATGATATCTTATATCAATGAACCAGTTCATGTAGTAGATGCATTTAAATACAGCATGTCATTTTTGTTGTATAATATACTTAATACATTTAAAACTTCCGTTTTTACTTCCCTTCAGCGTTTCCATTTGGTGTTTTCTTTCTGTGTTCCTTAGAGCGACACAACACACACAAAAAGAAAGAAGTTATTTCCTTATTTTTCTCTCCGTTGGTTTGCATACATGCAAAAAGATAAATCTATCTGCAAATATCATTAGCAACATAGCCCCTGCTAGCAGCATGGCTAATGTTACTGTCCAAAACAAGAAAAAAGGCTAAGAAACCCAATCCCAGCGTTATAACTGCAGTGAAACAGCTTACTTAGCAGTAATGATAACTTCAGCAATGTTGATGATACGACTGAAATAATGTTTATTTATCACTCTACCTTTTTGATTCATTTGACACCATGTGCAGCATTCTTCTGCTGGTTATAGTTTTCAAAGTAAACGTTTTCCCCAGTAGTTCCTCTACCTGGGGATATTGCCTAAGTGTTGTCTTTTTAAACAAAGTGCTCTGTGGGAGGCGATGATGCTGTGGATGTGTCCGGGGCTTTTACTGTGATAGACCGATCTCGACCCGGGCAGACAAAATTGCATAATAAAAGCATGCTTATAGAGTGGTGCAGGATCAGTCCTAAATAAGTTAGCATTTGAGCACTTCCGGAGGACCTCGTCTCATATCATTAGGTTTTTGGCAAGATGCACGAAATATGGTCTGTGGTTAACACAAGCAAGATTTTCTAGTTTTGTTCTAAGACATCAAATACGTCAGTGAATATGACGTAAAACGTGACATGAAGGCCCTGGACATTGCGACGGACAACTAGGAGAGGCTGGCGGAGGACCGGACGAAGTGGCGCCAGCAGCTGCGCGAAGGTGGTGACAGACTTGACAAAGACTGGATTCGTGGACTTGCTCAAAAACGTGGACATACTGTATCTCTCTGATTGCACTGTACAATCTCTTGTAGATTTTCTTGCCAATAGAATGTCTGAAGCTTGTATTTCTTAAAAAAGCAGGTTGCTAACAAGTGGCTAAATGAGACTACTAAACATCATCATGCCCAAGATTAGCCCCCTTTAGCTTTGCGGTGTTGATGTGCAACCATGCGACTGTCATGTAGTTCCTTACGAGCCTAACATTAGCTTACGTGTAAGCATCATTACTGTTTGTTTGCCAAAGGTCTGAGTTTTGTAGATGGGGTCCGTGCGAGGTTAACTTCTGGGTCGGCCTACAAAAAGATGTCTTTACCGCAGCACTATAAACTCTGATGGGGTCATTATTTTACAGCCATTATTTTGTGCAATCATATTTAATTCATAATGATAAATGAGCAAATATGTTGTACATTGCCTAGATTAATAACTATGACATGGCCCTCTTTAGGGAGAACCACACAATCCTCCCCCTGATCTTCAGATTTCCAACCCTAGGCTCAATCTATGCCCCCTAAAAAACTAGGCTTAAGTCCTTCGTGTTGTCGATAAGCGATGGACCCATGCCATGCCACTCACCGCGCCATGAGGCCTGACCTCTACATGGGGACGTTTTCCGCTGGCCTTTCTCAACCCACGATCAGATGACTGTTTCTGACAGATGTAAGCCTGTTTTCCTGTCATCTGTCCGCAGGGCGTCAGATGTTTAAAACAGGGAGCCCCCCAGGGAGCCCCACAGGGAGCTGGCTCTGCCCTGAGGAGCCCTCTGGTAAACATTCAGTGGAAAACAAAGGCAGGTTCAGGCAGTCTGAAGTGGAAACTTGAATGGAAACATAGGACAATTAGCCAGTGTTGAACGAAGTACTCAGATCCTTTACTTAAGTTAAAGTACAAATACTATGGTCTTAAAGTACTCCACTACAACAAAAGTCCTGAGTTCAGAATTGTACAAAAGGATTAGCATCAGAATGTACCTCAAAACGTAAAGTAAAAGTACTCATTCTGCACAATCCACCATTTCAGAACAATATATAATACTGAAGTATAATCTAAGAAATGTACCTAAAGTATCAAAAGGGAAATGATTGGTTATGCAGAAATTGCAGAATCGATCTGTTCACAGTATTGTATAATTATGGTTATTATGTTATCCTGTTTTTAGTGAAGTAATATATCCGTCTGTCCTTTCAGTGCAATCATTTGTTTTTTATTTTTGAAGGATGCAACATCTTTCACTCGTCACGCTTAATGCTTTAAAACAAAACAGACTTTGCAAATGATATTAGCTTTTGGGGATCTTTTGCATTTAAAATGTGTCAGCACACCTCTGTCTGCAGCTCTCAAAGCTCTGCTGCCCCCTGCTGCACTACATGTGAAGCTACAACTGGAGTAAAAGCAAGGATGTAGACGTGACTGTTTTGCTGACACACATGCAATTAATATTGTTGACTCCCCTCAATATTATATGGATTGTACATCACATGATTTCTTCATTGTGTTCCTTTAATTTGTTTTTAATTTCCCCCCCAATGTCTCTATGTGTAAGTGTGCCAAACATTAGAAAGTAGCCGTAAAAAATCTAGGCCACCTCTTTACGTAACTATAGCTATACAACTCACAAACATTTATTATTCACAAATAATCTGACAGAATCATTTTCCAAAATTCATTACAGAATTATTGTATGACATAAAAGTCTATAAATATATTTCCGTTATATAACAAGGCACTTTGTTGCATAATGTGTGATGGGTTAATTATAGACAGAGCACCATGGCAACCTAAGTGTTTCAAACAGCCTTTATTGGTGTGCAAATATCTCAAGATTCAGAATTCAAAGGCACCTGGGTGGGGAGGGTTACTTTACATTTGACATGTATTCCGTTACAATGACTAGTTTCCTGTAATAAAGTGATGTAACCTGATTACTTTCTGATACTTTTTGATTTCCTCAATATCAAATGCCATGCCAATAAATAAAAGAAAAAAATATATCAGTAAAATGTTTTTAACTTAAGTGTATTTTGTAAGACAACTGAACAATGTGACCGAAGAAAAGAAGATATTTAGTATCAAAAATGATTTCAGTGATAGGAAAAGCTGCCTTTCACTCAGCATATTCAGGCAGTAGCCTGTACACCAACAATGAAACACATGAGCACATACAGTTTAAAAAAGCTGACAGAAAATGCTGCGTTTTAGTTTAACACACAGTTAAGCTCACACACACTATTTTATGAACATAAAGGTTCACCTGCTGAATTAAAACAGAACAAATGAAGCAAAGGAAGTGAAAACCATAAAGCAGATTCAGGCAGTAGGCGTATAGATTCACACTTAAAGTATTAGCCTACAGAACAGTACAGATTACAGAGAAGAGAGAACATCGGATCCTTTACAACAGGGGTCTCCAACCTTTCTTCATCTGAGAGCTACTTTCAAAAAATGAAAGTGGCCAAGAGCTACTTGCATCACATCGCTTACATGTATTCACATAGCCCTCATCAGTTGAATTAAGCTATACTTTTGTACACGTGTGAAATTGCAATACCTAAAGCTTATCAAAAATCTTAACTTCACATCAAGGTCCAAGAAAACGAACATTTCTCACATATTATTATGGCCCACATAATAAGTGCATCACTTAACATTCACATAAGTGTCCTTAATCACCACCTTACAAGCATTTCCCTCTTTTGTTAGTGAGATGAATGGCACTGCATGCAGTCCACCATACAGGTGTCTGCTGTAGTGTACCCACTTAGGTTCACTCTAATTAATATAGTCATTTAAATGTTCTTCAGTCGGTATTGTTCTGTATTTAGATTTCATTCATGTCAGAAAAAGCTGCTTCACAAAGGTATGTAGAACAGAACCAAATAAAGCAGACATGTTCAGTGCTGCTTGGTGAATGTTCTATAGTTTTCGGTGTCTACAAGGCTCCAGAAATGTTGTGAGTTTTGCTGAGACTTAAGCTGAACATGATTTTGGAGATGTATAACCTCCATCTCCGTCTCCACAGGATAGACACTGAACAGTTCAGCCATCTTCTTCTTTTTCTTCTTCGTCTTGACATTAAATTATAAACCATAATAAATCAATTGTATAGGTCTAGCCTCCCTATATCTGTGTGTGAAATTGTTCCATCCTCAAAAACAAAAAACGAATGCTTCTGCAGTCTAGCTGCAGCTTCTAGCAACGGTCTTCTGTTAAAAAAAGGACACTGAATGTCCTGAATGTGGCATCACACACATGACTTGAGTCTGAACACAGCAGACAACAGGAGTATTTACAACAGCATTATAAAAACTAAAATAGTGCATGTGGGTGCACACTTATATTCTCTGTCTTACTGTTACATAAATCCTATGAATGTATGAGATTAAGTTAGCTTCATCATATCTCAATCAGTGATTAAGTGAATAATAACGTTTCTATCGGGTCACTGTCAGCCTGTCACTCATTATTTTCAGGGAGGGGCGGGGTTTGGAGGAACGGAGGAGACGGTGATCGCGGAAGCTTTCCTCCTGCTTTCACAAACTTTACGTATTTATCAACTGAAAATAGCAAGAGGACATTCATACTCTGCAATCCAAGACTTGATTAAATCCACCAAAAACCTGACATGACGATAACGAGTGTTTTTCAAAAAACACAAACCCCTCCCTGTGTGTCTCTGAGCCACAGCGACAGGGCCTGATTCAGAGCGGGTCATTCTGCTGTTGGTTCTGGACTGGTGCTGGTGCTGGTG